ATACTTGTCCAGAAATAGCACATACCTAACCAAGCTGCCTGCCAGTTCCTGGAGAGCCTGAAGGAAACGATTCATTATGGATGAGTTATAACTAATGAAACTGTCCCTGAGGTACAGTCAATATTCTCAGCAGATACCAGCATGCCACAAACCCATTTCCTGCTCTGGCAAGGGTACAGCCACAGTTTATCAGCACAGGCACACAGGAATGTGCCCCACAGCAGTGCTGACCCACAGCATCCCACACGTTATTGCATCCTCTGCCCATGGCACTGCCAGTCCTATGGCATCCATAGGCCTGCATCCTCAGTGCCACGGTGTCCCTGTCCCATACCATCCCTTACCCCAGCACCATGGTCCCAGAGCATCTGCTGACCCATGGCATCCCCTACCCCATGGCAACTTCAACTCTGCTGAGGAGATCAAGGTCTTCTCTGGGAAACAGGTCCCCAAAGGAGATGAGAGATTAGGAAGCACAGTTTTGGGGTGAGGCAGTTTGGTTGATGAAGGACAGAAGAAATAGAAGCCCTGTCCTTGCCTTTCAGCTGCGCAACCCCTCTGATAAGTTTATCTACGCCACGGTGAAGCAGAGCTCAGTGGACATCTACTTCCGACGGCAGGTGGAGCTGAGCACCATGTACCGGCACATGGAGAAGCACAACTACGAGAGCGCGGCTGAGGCCATCCAGGCAGTGAGGGACAAGTGAGTGGGGCCAGCACCTTGCCTGGCCACACTGGGAACAGATCCAGGGAGCTGTGATTCTGTGGGACGAGAAGGGCTGATGCAAACCTGGAGGGAGCTATTGTCAAATCATGGCTTGATAGGACCTGACCAGTCGGTGCTGGATGGGATCTTCCTAGTTCTAGTGTGTACCAGGTCTCTGGATGGAGAGCACAAGGTCTGTGTTGTGAAAGGCACATTCGGAGCCCTGTCCTTGTCTGTGGCCTCCCATTCTGGCCTCCATGCTTGCTTCTGTGCAAGGCTGGGTGACTTCAGATCCCATGTAAACCCCTCACACTCCTCCAAAATGTTGCCAAGCCTTTTGCCTCCCAGCACAGATCCTGCTGCAGGAGGGTGATGCTAATCCAGGCTTAAATTAGGGCTGGGAGCACCCTCACTGCTCCCACAGTGGCTGCAGGCACAAACTTACCAGCCTGTCCTCTCTGCCCAGCAAGCTCCACGCCTTCATCTGGGACTCGGCAGTGCTGGAGTTTGAAGCCTCCCAGAAGTGTGACCTGGTGACGACGGGGGAGCTTTTCTTCCGCTCTGGCTTTGGGATCGGGATGCGCAAGGATAGCCCGTGGAAGCAGAACGTCTCCCTGGCCATCCTCAAGTCCGTACCCAGCTCTTGGCATGGGGCTTGCCCTGCATGCTGCATGTGTTATCACCCAAGTAGCCTTGTGCCAGGCACTGCCAACCCTCCCCAAACCCTCTGCAGAGAGAGAACAGCCACCCCTGTCCCTCCTGATGAAGGGAATAGGCCTGAGCAACCAGGGTGGGCACCCACAGCACCAGCTCCACTTGCAGGGCTGGGGAAGCAGCATGGTACTGGGGGGGTGCAGAGCAGAGCAGAGCAGGCAGCAGGAGCTGTGCTGGACCACAGGACCACAGGCAAAGCTGGCAGAGAGCAGCCCTGAGGCCACACAGCACCAGGTCCTTGTGAGCAGTGGCAGGGTGCTGCCACTTCCCCACTACTCCCTGCAAGCTCAGCCTGGCATTGCACTGCCCTGGCTTGATGTTTCAGGGGTTTTCTTCCAACTCTGGCTGTTCCTCTTAGACAGAGATACATCAGGACCCCTGCTGAGTCCAGCTAAGGCTTTATACCAGCATTAGCCTGCAGCCTGGGGAGCCACAAGTCGATCTAATATTTATAGGTAAAATGGGATTTCCTTGAGTTAGTTCAGAAATGCCACGCTTGCTGCAGCCAGAGGAACGTGGTGATGGAGTAACAGGCAGCTGGGAAGCAGCAAGTGGAAGGAGATTAATTTTGTGGAGAGACAAGGGTAAGGAGCCACCAGGGTCCTGCCCGAGATGTGGAGATGAAAGGCCTGAGAGAGAGGATAGGGAGGAATTAGAAGACACAAGCAGGAGCCAGGATAACAAAAGGAGCCATGGACCCCGTCTGTAGGGTGGTCTTACTATGGGGATGGGTAGCAGCAGGACAGATGGGATTTGGGACAACAATGTGAGAAGCCTGGAGGGGCAGCAGGAGTCCTTGTTGTCCTGCTGGGAGAGGATGGGGAAGCCTAAGGCTGCAGGTGGGCCAGGAGGGCAGAGGGGATGTGCCACAAACAAGAGGGAGGAAGGCACAGGGAGACCTGTGGTGGGATGTGTGCTCTGTGCCCACCTCCATCCAGTAGCTGTCCAGGCAGGAATGGGCACTGCAGGGATGTGGTTTGCTTCCCTCCCCAAGCTGTGACACCCAGTTGCTGGGGAGTGCCAGCCCTTGCATTGCACAGCAGAGAGCTGCCAGGCAGCAGTTTTGCCCCTGATCTAGAGGGTGCTGGTGATCACCAGATAGGACTGGGGTCCTGTCTGAGCTCCCAGGTGGCTCTGGCAGGTGGGGACCATGCAGGAGGGCACCAGGAGACATGGTTTATGTCAGGTCCCTGCAGCCTCTCTCGTAGCACTGCCTACAGCAGTCAGCTCCATCCGTCTCCCTGGGAACCGAGCTTGCATGAGGCTCTTTTTGGCATCAGCTAGCCAGTTCTCCAGCTCTCAAACACAGGACAGTGGCACCAGGCAGCTCTGGGTGCCCTCTTGCACCTTCTGCACCATGTACATGGATCATGGCTGCATGCAGGGCAACATGCAGACACATGCAGTGCAGGCAGCCACTGCAGATGGGCCACACACACCCTCTCTATGCAAAAGCTCTACAAGCACATGTGTGTGCACACACATGCACACACATGCATCATCAGTTTGTGTGTTTGTAGGCTGCTGGCAAGAGCAGATAGAGCTCTTGGATGCTCTAGGATGCTTTAGGATGGAGCATGTGCCCCAGCTGCCTGCAGTTGCTCCGCAGTGACTACTCTGTCCTGTCTCCTTGTGCTTCCAGGTCTCACGAGAACGGCTTCATGGAGGATTTGGACAAGACTTGGGTGAGGTATCAGGAGTGTGACTCCCGTAGCAATGCCCCAGCAACACTCACCTTTGAAAACATGGCAGGTTTGTTCTGCAAACCTCTTTCTTCCTCTTCGCTGGGTAGCCTGCTTTCGCTCAAGACATTCTCCTCTCCGGGGTTCTCCTCTCAGGCCAAAGCTCTGCTTCTTCTGGGTTTGTGCTTTCCTAGTGCTGGGAGGCTGCTGTGTTGGGCTCCAATCCCACATCCGAAACAGCTCCGCAAAGCTTTCCCCACCTGCCTTGGGGTGGCTTTCTCATCGGTGGGGCTGTCCTGCTTTGACCATTGCTCCCCTCCCTCTGCTCTGGCCAAACTGCGGCTGTCACTGTGAAATCAGAGCTATCGCCAAGGCAGAGAGAGGGGAGCAGCACCTCGGGAGAGGAGAGAGCAGACACGGAGGCAGCGAGGATCCTGCTTCAGGAGGGAGCTAGTGGTGAGGGGCAGCCCCCAGCCTCATGGAGCATGTCCTGGGTGGGCCCAGGCAGTGGGCAGGGGGCAGGAGGAGGATAATGTATACAGAGGGTTTTTTTCTGGGTCTCCATTTGCAAAGACTGAGAGTTACTCCATACTGGCTCTCCCTTTGCTCTAAAAATGGTCCTTTACCCAGTCGACCTAGTGATGATCCTTCACCCAGCCAATGTGGTGATGTGGGATGAGGGGTGTCCAATGGGACCCATCCTCACCAGCACCACGGGCCAGGGCAGAAACACCAAGAGAGGGAGCACTTTGCTGTCTCCTCAAGACAATCCCCCAAAATTGTCAGCCCCATGGGTTTCAGCTGATCCTGGGCAGCACAGAGAGCTTTGTGTGTGGGTATTCATCCCGATGAGCCCAACATGGGCACCAGAGCTGGGTTTCTGGTCCAAGCAACCCTACGGCCTCAGGGGACAGGGTCTCCCCCAGCATCATTGCAGCACAGCCCATGTCCTGTGCCCAACCACAGGCGCTTGCACGGACATCCAGCACCCCATCACCTTTCCACCCATCAGCTGGGTCCCCAGCCTGCACAGCACCAGCCCTGCTCTGCTGCGTTCCCCTCCCCAGCCCCTCCAGGACTGCAGGGGGATGGCGGGGGGCCAGGGAGGAACTTGGGTTGGCGAATGCTCCTGTTGCTGAGCATGATACAGAGGAAATGAAGCGTCAAAAAAAAACTTTGCTGCTTATTTCAGGTGTGTTTATGCTGGTGGCTGGAGGTATTGTTGCCGGGATATTTTTAATATTCATAGAAATAGCTTACAAAAGGCATAAGGACGCGCGGAGGAAGCAGATGCAGCTGGCGTTTGCGGCCGTTAATGTGTGGAGGAAAAACCTGCAGGTAGGACAAACCGTTTTTAGAGCAAATCTCCAACAGGTGCGTTTTCCATTCCTCCACCAAACCAGTAACGCAGAGCTGTGGATTAGCATGGGGCTCTCTGTCCCTCACCCCAACTCCAGCTGGGCCTTACTGGGCACCCAGCAAGTTCTAGGGTGGAGTCCCTCCCTTTGTCCCTGGGAGATGTCCTTGGACGATGCCAAGCTCCAACCAGGACAGACCTGACCCAGATGCCCCAGTGGTGCTTGGGGTGGGGACTTTGTGCTGCTGGGGACCATGTGCCAGAGCCATGACTAGACTTGGCTGAGCAATCAGTGATGACGTGGCTGCCCTTGCAGTTCTGCCCTGCTGCCTGGCTGCGGCCGTGCTCACCAGCACACAGGAGGGTTAATCCATTGCCTCTGAGCATCCCTGCCCAGTGCTTGGGTGGAGAAATGCTCCAGGGATGGTTTCCATCGCCTCACCCCCACTCGGCCCGCTCCCCAGGGGTGTGGTAGCCCTTGTCATACCTGGGACCAACTCCTAAAAGAGGTGGTGCGTGCTCTTGTCATTTGGAGACAAGGATGTCTCCCCACATGGGAGCCAGTGATGCCGGTGCCTGGCAGCACCAAGGCTCCCCCCAGCCCCTTTCATGGGGCCATTGCTCCCCCGGCTTCTCCCAGCCCCAAAATACCTCTGTGCCCTGGAGGCACAATGATTCCTGGCAGTGACACTGAGCCATGGGCATGTCCATGGGCCACCAGCCTCACACTTCCCTTGGTTTTGGGGCTGAGCCCCATGGTGCCCCCGAACCCCAGTTTAGGGCATCTGGATGCTCTCTCTGAATCACCTGGGCTGCTCTTCTTCCTTGGGGAAGCAAACTGGCATTCAAAGAGCAAGAGATCCTTTAGGTGACTAAAGGAGATTGCTGTGTGCAGCAGAGCCAGTGAATGAAAGAGAGAGAAGGAGGGTCGGGGACCCCAAAATGAGCCCGGAGTGGTGTCCCTGAGGGAGCAGCGCTGGCTGGGGCATGTGGGTGGGCTTCCTGGGTGGAGGAGACCTGCTGAGAGCAGCAAGGGGAAGCACGAGACCTGGCTGCTGTATCCTGAGAGCTCGCTGGGTTCAGTTCACTGATGAGAGTCTCGGAAAAAGCCATTTCTCTATATTTTTTTTTCCTTTTTTTTTTATTGTTTCTTTTTCTCCTTTGCTTCCAAAAAGCAGCAGCAGCAGCACCGAGGGGGTTAAGGCTGCTGGGACAGAGCACACTAGTCGCACTGCCATTTTTCACTTGCCAACCTTCTAGAAAATACTGCACTGGGTCCTTGGGCAGAGTCTGTGGGACTGTGAGCAAAGCATGCTGCCCTGTGGGGGTAAACAGCCTCATGGTAAAGAGCCGTTTGACATTGTAAGACTTTTCCACAGGAGGAAACGTCAGAGCACTAGTATCTGGTACATTGCTAGAAGGTAGGCAAGTGGAAAGATTTATTTGTTAAAAACAAACAAACAAAAATAATGGTTTTTTTGGGATCACAGTTTTGCCATGGCTATTTCCTGAGATGCCATGGAAGAAAAAAAGGCATTTCATTCCATTCATCTTGCTTTCCTTTTCCGTTTGTGCATGTCCGCAAAAGAGAGAACTGAGAAGGAGGAGCAAATGTATCCCCGAGCATGCTCTACGCACCAGCGGGATACATTTTGGTTACCCCCGTGCGGTAGCAGAGCCAGACCTGGTCACTCCGTCCCCCGTCGGAAAGGTCACACTCATTGGCACGAAAGCAATTGGGGAGGAAGCGTCCTCAGCGCCCGCGGCCGAGCGCGGCCGGTCCCCGCGGCTCGCTGCC